ACCAGACTCCAGTCCTCTGCAAAAGCAGCCAGTGATCTTAACCATTGATCCATCTCTCCAGCCCATGAAATAAATTTTTAAAAATTAAAAAAAATAAAACCACTTTAAGATTTCATGTTACCCTACGCAGACTGGCTAAGATCAAGAGAAAGGGGAACACTCATCCACTGCTGGTGGGGCTGCAAACTGGTTCAACCCCTATGGAAAGCAGTGTGGAGAACTCTTAAAAAACTACAAATGAGCCAGGCATGGTGGCGCACGCCTTTAATTCCAGCACTTGGGAGGCAGAGGCAGGCGGATCTTTGTGAGTTCAAGGCCAGCCTGGTATACATAGTGAGTTCCAGGAGACAGCTGGGGCTACAGGGAGACCCTGTCTCAAAAAGACAAAAAAAAAAAAATACTACAAATGAACCTACCATTTGACCCAACCCAGTTATTCCACTCCTTGGCATATACCCAAAGAACTCATCCTATTGCTTGCAGAGACACTTGTACATCCATGTTTGTTGCTGCTTTTTTCACAACAGCTAAGAGATGGAAGCAACCAAGTGTCCCTCAATTGACGAGTAGATAATGAAAATGTGGTTCATTTATACGATGGACTTTTACTCAGCAGTAAAGAAAGATGAAATCATGAAATTTTCAGGTAAATAGATGGAAGTAGAAACTGTTATACTGAGTGAAATAACACAGACTCAGAAAAAAAAATTGACATATGTTCTTTCTCATATGTGGATCCTAGAACCAAATTCTGACAAGTGAGTATGTATCCAGACATGACTACAGGAACCAGGATAATGGAAAGGAACCAGGGAGGTAAAGGAAAAGAAAGAACCTGAACGAGAACAGTAGGAAACAGTCCTTAAAAAGGGAGATATGGATAAAAATTGGGTTAGTTTAAGGGAGTGGGGAGGGAAGGGTATACAAGGAACCTAGGGGATAAAGAAGGGGCTCAAGAGAGGTAGGAGAAAGGTATTATTAAGGGAGAAAGGGGAGAAATGGGGACACCTTAAGTGGGAAAACTGTGATGGAGGGGTGAGACAGTGCGAGAGATAAATAATGCCTAGCTAGTTTTAAAAACCAGAGAGAGCCATATTACTCCAACAACCTACTGACAAGTTATACACAGCAGATCAAGAAATATATATCTAGGTATGGTTTATCTGAAAACAATTGGTCTTTGCCCAAGATTTATCTACATGACACACAGCAATTAAAAGTACCAGACTGGTGG